CTCTCCCAGCTGTATGCTGCTCTAACTTCCTACTCAGAAACTGGCACTTGCTCATTAAGTGGGTACTAATATACTTATTCCTACTTGTCCCAAAGATGCCTGGCTTTCCTTCCTTGCCAGTGCCTTTACATATATAAGTATCAGTCAATTAATGTGGAACTCATCAGTGAGATCATCTAAAATATTTTAAAACAAGGCCATTGACAGTGTTGAGCTTCGTTGAGAAGACCTGGATTGGTTCCCGGTTGTAGCAACCTGGATGTGGATGTTTCAGCAGAGCACTTACAGATCTGGAAAATTAAAAGCTTCTGACTTATGAAGGAGAGTTAAAGGGGCTATTTATCAAGACCCAGAATTGCCAAGATGGTAAAATTACAAGATACTGGGGAGTATGCTCTAAATATTAAAGGATATACAAATATAATTTGTACTCATTTGAAAACCTTCAAGATGTTATTAAGCTATATATTTACTCTCTGTTGACATTTTCTAATCCACTTGTGTGTAGATTAATTATGGATTTGAAACATTTAAATATGAATGTTTCCTTAAGTAATGCAATTAACTAGCAAGAGGCAATTATAACAGTCTTTTGCAAATAGTTGAATGTGTCTTCCAACAGTCTTAAGCTTTAGTAATTTGTTCAAAATAGTTTTTGACCATTTCTTCTCCTGGACTCCAAAATCACTGTGGACAGCAACTACAGCCACAGATTAAAAGACACTCCTTGGAAGAAAAGCTATGACAAACCTAGACACCTTATTAAAAAGCAAAGGCATCACTTTGCCAACAAAGGTCTGCATAGTCAAAGTTATGGTTTTTTCAGTAGTCATACACAGATGTGACAGTTGGGCCATAAAGAAACCTGAGCACCAAAGAATTGATGCTTTCGAACTGCGGTATTGGAGAAGACTCTTGAGACTCCCTTACAGCAAGGAAATCAAACCGATCAACCTTAAAGGAAATCAACCCTGAATATTTATTAGAAGGAGTGATGCTGAAGCTGAAGCTCAAACACTGTGGCCACCTGCTTTGAAGAGCCAACTCATTGGAAAAGATCATGATGTTGAAAAGACTGAGGGCAGGAGGATGAGGGGGCAATGGAGGATGAGATGGTTGAATGACATCACTGAATTAATAGACATGAGTTTGAGCAAACTCAAGGAGCCAGTGAAGGACAGGGAAGCTTGGTTTGCTGTGGTCCATTGGGTTGGTTACATGATTTAGCAATTGAACAACAACAACAAAATTATTTCCAAACCGCCTTTAGAGATGAAGAGTTGATGAGGGTATTCAATCATATTGAATGAGCTTGGAATTTTTTAATTACTGAGTGTTTAAACCTAAGAATTTAAAGAGAAATTATTAATATTTTGATTATAACTATCAGCACCATCCATTCTGTATTACAAATACCTTTTTTCCATCTGGCAGTGTGTTCTAGCTCCAGGAAAATCCCAGAAACAAGACTTGTATCCAGGGAGCATCTGTGTTGTTGAAGGTGAAGGCCAAGAGGGAAAACAGGCAGGAAAGACAGCTACTCCGTCAAGTTGATTCACCTAAGAGCTAAATGAATGCTGACTGTCACCAGTATTTCTTTCTTATTCTTTTAGAAAGCTTGTGCTGCTGTGTTAAAATAAATAAATAAATAGAGTTCATATAATTGGAAAGTGCCCATGAATAGATCCACAGCTTCAAAGTTTCTCAAAGTTACTCAGAAATGGGAGGAGAAGCCAAGGTTCTAACAGACTGGAGAGTGACATGGAGAAAGGACAAATGTCACGTGCTGGCTGGAGGGACTGGAATAACACATCAAAGCCACTCTTCTTGACAAGGGAGGGTAAGCATGACACACAGATGATGCCTACAACCTCTAACATCACCCCAGTCACAGGTTCTCAGGGTATATGGGCTTTCTTCATTGCCACTGGGGAAATAAAGGGGACGTCAGAATTCTGGAAACAGTTCAGTAGCCCCCATCTCAGTAAGTGACTATAAACCCCAGCAGGTGTGAATTTGCTTCCCGATGTCTTTTGCATGACCATGAGACTATATGAAATGAATGTGCATAAATGGAAAGTTACTGTTCTTCTACATGCACCCCAGTGCTCACTCTAGTACTGTTCACAATAGCTGACACATGGAAGCAGCCTAAATATTCATTGACAGAGAAATGCATAAAGAAGATGTGGTGTGTGTATATATATATATATATATATATATATATATATATATACCACAATATTCAATGGGATTTTACTCAGCCTTTAAAAAGAATATCATGATGCCATTTGCAGCACCATGGATGGACCTAGAGATTATCATACTGAGTGAGGTAAGTCAGAGAAGCAGAAATGCCATATGTCATTCCTTATATGTGACGTCTAAAAAGAAATGATGCAAATGGACTTATAAAACAAAAAGAGACTCACAGACTTAGAGAACAAATTTAGGTTGCGGGGGGAAGGATAAGGGGAAGGGATGGTTAGGGAGTTTGGGGTAGACATGTACAAACTACTATGCTTAAAATGAGTAAGCAACAAGGACCTACCATATAGCACAGAGAACTCCGTTCAATGCTATGTGGCAGACTGGATGGGAGAGGAGTTTGGCAGAGAGTGGATATGTGTTTATTTGTGGCCGAGTCCCTTCTTTGTTCACCTGTAACTATTACAACATTGTTAATCAGCTAGGCTCTAATGTAAAATAAAAAGTTTCTTTCTTTTTTTTTTTTTTAAGAAATTCTCTCCTTTGAAATCATTAGAGGGAAAATAGGACGGGGTAACTAGGGTTGAGAAATAATGTGGTATAAAGTGTCAAACATGATACATTTCTAGGAAGCTTAGTAACCCCCACACCAGGGCGGCACCAAGAATTTAGTCGTGAAGATGCACAGGAGAGAGAGGAGAGGTTTTCAGCTCTTCGTTGACAAAGCGTCGTAAGAAGCACGATTTGTCAGAGAAGCTAGAGCAACACAAGAGGTGGAGGAGATCCAGGTGTCCCGGGGCTTGCCCTTATTCCAGTAAACTCAGAAAGTTACCCAGAGAGTGTTCACACTGTTCTCCTTCTCAAGTACCCATGCCCCTCTAAACTGTAAGACCAGTGTAAGAGCTGGGAAGCCAGTATTGACACATACAAGCAATGTTACATCTGATGAGCATTTTATGAAAAACTCACAGTAGAAATAAAAAGAAATCAGGAAAGTTTACATTTTATCTGCAAGCGGAGCAAACTGACTTGACAAGAGCTCTTTGAAACTTTTTTGAGCATAAAATTCTGAAAAGAAGAATTCTAGTAAACAAAAATTATAACCATACATTTATTTTTCAATATAATTGCTAGCAATTTATTTGCATACAATATAACTAATATGCTTTCACTTCATGGAGTCTTTTAAATGGTTATTTTTATGAAAGTGAAACATTTGCTTTCTCATCATGTCCATAAGACTGTAATGCTGTTTTTCCCAAAAGGCTTATAATTCTTCAAATGCAATTTCACCTACCAAGGGGGATTTGAGGCAATTAATCTTCCTTTAAGGCATCTGGGTTAGCTTTGTGTCTGGGATAGTTATTATCTTTTTCAGGCCTTCATTTGCTTATCTGTCAGATAAGGAATCAATCTTGATAATCATTAACATACTTTCATGCTCAAAAATCCAAAAATTTTAATTTCCTATGTCATAGTATTTGGTATCACAAAGATTTTTAACCATCAAATTGGTGAAGAATTGGGCTGTCTTGTAGATTTTAAGCATTTTAGTTAATTTACTACTCAATTTTAATTAGTTACCCATACCAAATAGCTACTTTTTAAAGTTTATTTTTCTGGAACTAAAAATGCTAAAAATGACAGTTATCATGCCGCCAGCTTCTCTTTGTGGAAGCACAACTTCTCCTCCTTTATTTTACCTTCCTTTGTCTTGTTCAAATTCATCTTTCTTTTAAAAAAGGCATTTCCATATTAACTTATATTAATTATATTAATAGGGGGCACAAGAATACTGCTTGAAACTGTGAGCTCCACAGACTTAGAGAACAATCCTATGGTTGTCAGGGGTGAGGGATGGAGGGAAGGGATAGTTAGGGAGTTTGTGCTGGGCGTGCACACAGTGCTCCATTTAAAATGGACAACCAGCAAGGACCTACTGTATAGCACGGGGAACTCTGCTCCATGTTGCGTGGCAGCCTGGATGGGAGGGGAGTTTGGGGGACTGTGGACACTCACACACACACACACATATATATATGGATGAGTCCTTCTGCTGTTCACCTGAAACTATCGCAACATTGCTAACTGGTTTATACTTACTTTAAAAAGTTTAAGAAATAAAAAACAGAGACTGTGAGCTACAGAGCCAATCCTGGTTCCACTGACTCATTACCTGATAACTTGGACACACGCTGCAATTACTTTGTTTAGTTTTCTCATAGGAAATTAGCCGTGAGAAGAAAGTGCTTACAACATAGAGTTGAGATATGTATATATACACACACCCATATGTGTGTACCTGTGCATTTATATGTAAAAATTATTTATTATATTTTATACACATGTAATCTATCTTACATAATGTATAGAATCTAATAGATATAAAAGAAAAGTATTGATGTGTGGTAGGCATTCAAAGACTATTACTATTAATTGTATCATTCATTCAAAATCTTTCATACATATGTCTGTGAATTTTTGTCAGGTGCATTAAATCACAATCATTTTATCCCTAATATCTCTTCAATGTCATGATATTTTCTTTCCAAGTACAGCCATGTTAGAATTTGAATATGTCTAAATAAATATGCTTCAAACTCCTGCTTCTGGTAATGTGTCTAAATTTACTGCCTGTTCAACAATTCACAGAATTAAACAGAGATCCAAAAACACAGGAGGGGGCCCAGGAAAAAAAAAATCGATATTTAAAAGGTACCATATGAGTGAGTAACAGCTGTATCCTGAGAAAGTAAAAGGAAGGTGAAAGGGTGAGCCCGCACGGCACTTACTGGTGTAGGTGAGCTGGAAGCCCTGGTCCGTGTCGGATCCGTTGGAGTTGAACTCCAGCCACAGGTGGTTGGAAGTGCTATTCAGGACGAGCCCCAGCAGCTCGTTCCTCGTGAAGGCGCCCAGGGGCCGCGACGAGCTGTCCTTTCCATCGTAGACCTGAGGAAACCCACAGCACGGGCAGCCTCGTCACTGTTCATACGCCAGCAAGTTTAACAAGAAATCCAGACTTTCAAACACACGGTTTTATGCAGTTCTTAGAAAGCTACACAGTTTATAGAAAGCTGAGTGGACACTGCCAGGTCATCCTTTTTTCTCTAACTTTTACCTTTACCTTAAAGACAAAAGATGCCATTTGTGTCCAGGTCATTTATCTGCATCATGCTGAGTTCTCTCTGTTTATGTAAAATGGAATCACTATGCGTTTGCATTTCCCCAGTCCCAGGGGCTACCACGTTCTCCTCTCCTCCTCCCAGTCCGTGTACAGAGTTTGAAAGTGCGTGTCGCAGTTCTCTGCGGATGTCTCCCCTCCCATCGGAACATGCCACCGAATGTGGCGACGAAGCCTTGTCCCACTTTCTCACCCCTGTGCCTGCGGCGACTTCAGCTTTGAATTTGCCGTAACGGGAATCGGTGTCCGGTCTTGCTCTGAAGCACTTCGAGATTGACTCTGTCTTTCTAGGAGGGTGTACATCCTGAGTGGGCACCCTGAGTGTCTGGGAGGCAAGTGGACTGGGCTTGGTTCTGAGTAGACATCACGGGTGAGGGAAAGTGTGAAAGTGTGAGTCGTTCAGTTGCATCTGACTCTTTGCAACCCTGTGACCTGTACACTGCCAGGATCCTGGGTCCATGGGATTCTCCAGGCAAGAACACTGGACTGGGGAGCCATCTCCCCCTCCAGGGGATCCTGCTCACTCACAGACTCAGCCTGGGTCTCCTGCACGGCAGGAGGGTTCTTTCCCATGTGAGGCGCCAGGGAAGCCTCGAGGGAGAGGAAGCGGTGCCTTCTCAGGCCCACACTGGGAGGACAGGGGCGCCAGCCACATCGCCCCAGAGCGGACTGTGTCAAACGGTCTTAGGGCGTGGACAGAACCTTCCTAATGCTGGAAAAACTGTGTTCACGTTCTAGTGGAGCTCAGCATTGAGCCCTCACACCACCAGTAAGTGGTAAACACTGGAACGCTTAATGGGAGAGACTCGGCCACTTGCCTCTTGGAACATCATGAGTGCTCATGGCAAAGAAGCACTGGTATGGATGTGGGCTTTTTAGAAGAAAGAATGCAAATGTATCACATCATACTGGAGAACATCCAGCTTTTCTTGTTGAAAAAATCCTAACTAAATAAAGCTTATCACAGTGCTTGGTAGCGCCACTCCCCCCCCGCCACCCCCCTGCCAGAGCTGTCTGGTTCCCTCACAGAGATTAACTCTTCCTTTTCTTCTCCCATCACTCTTCTGATGTGCATGGAAACCACGAATGCTGCTTGACAGACTGACATACACATTCACACACTCCTAAACGGAGAGGACACATTTGGAAGAACTAATTTTGTGGATCACAATTGGATTGCATTTTAATTCTATACATGCTCGAGTAGGAGAATCAAATAGCCTTTACTAGCATCAAGCTACAACTGGACAAATCATTGTTTGGCTTAATGTAGATGCTTTAGTTTCTGACACCCAGATTATAAAGACTTTTAAATCCAGAGCATTCTGGCTGAAAAGCAAAGTGTCCAGGCCTCTCCAGCAAGGTCTTACGTTACCCCACATGCCACGTGACCCACAAGAATATGTAGAGAGGAGGGGGCATTAAAGCAGATAAAAACACGCTTAGGTCTGGTCCTCAAAGCTCTGAGGCATCATCTGCTGGTCACCTCCATTGGTCTTGGCTTGTCTGAGTGCTTCTCTGAGGTTCATTTATTTATTTATTTTTCTCTGAGATTTAATAGCTCACACAGATGGTGGCTAGTGCCCAGGACCTCTCAGCTGCAACCATAAAAAACGACCCGCTACCATGCTGAACTACAAGCTTCTGCAGAAGAGTAATTCTGTCTTATCTGTCTATATCATCAGCAATTAGCACTGGGTTTGACAGTGCAAATCTCTGAATGAAGAAGTAACTGACTAGTGTGGATATTATGTTGTCAGTTCTCTCAAGTTGAAAATCTGGATTCATGCTTCGCATGTATCACAAGCAACAACCCAGATAGTGTTGGAGGGCAAAAGCACTGATTTTTAATTCTAGAAAACATCGCAAGGAATCCTGGAATGACAATGCCGAAACCATCCCTAGGCCTGCAGATGCTACCCCCCAGAGCTGTTTCCAAAACGAACCTCTCTTTTCACTACATATTTTACCATGGCATTCTCCTTAGAACTACTAATATACTTCTCTTACACGATTTTTCCATTCAAAACAAGGAAACATCATGTTTATATGTGTGGGAGGCTATATACATAAAAATTGTGGCCTTTGTGATTGGATCATACTATTTATATGGGGACAATGTAAAAGCATTTAAGATCAAAAATTAAGATAATCTCTATACACCTATATCCCCTTTTTTGGATTTCTTCCCATTTAGGTTACCAAAGAGCATAGCATTACCTAAGTTATACAGAAGGTTCTCATTACTTATCTATTTTAAATATAGTATCAATAGTGGATATATGTATACATATAACTGATTCACATTACTGGGCAGTAGAAACTACACAACTATATGCCAATAAAATTAATTAAAATTAAGATAATCCCACAGGAAATTTAACACTTTGATATTTATTAGCATGTTCAATAAAATATTTGCTTGCAAAATATCTCAGCACTTCAGATAACTGACAGTTTTTCTGGGATTAAATGTGGTAAACAAGATTTTGTTCTGATTTTTTATTATAATCAACAAGTTTAAACAGAACACAATCACAAATGCACATGATCTGCTTCCTTCCATTCTAATAATACTCATCAGTGTATATTTAATGCAGTGTCTCTAATCAGTCACCTGCACCAAAGTATATTAATAGTTCTTAAAAGTTTGTCTTAAAGGCTGTGTGTTATGTTGTGCTCAGTTGCTAAGCTATGTCCAACTCTTTGTGACCCAATGGACTGCAGCATGCCAGGCCTCGCTGTCCTTCATTGTCTCATGGAGTTTGCTCAGATTCATGCCCACTGAGCTGGGGACGCTGTTTAACAGTCTCCTCCTCTGCTACCCACTTCCTCCTTTCCTTCAGTCTTTTCCAATATCAGGGTCTTTTCCAATGAGGTGGCCTTCACATCAGGTACTGAAACTTCAAAGTATTGGAACTTCAGCTTCAGCATCAATCCTTCAAATGAATATTCAGGATTGGTTTCCTTTAGGATTGAGTGGTTTGATCTCCTTGCTGTCCAAGGGATTCTCAAGAATCTTCTCCAGCACAACAACTAGAAAGCATCGATTCTTTGGTGCTCAGCTTTCTTTATAGTCCAACTCTCATATCCATACATGACTATTGGAGAAACCATAGCTTTGACTATATGGACCTTTGTTGGCAAAGTGATATCTCTACTTTTGAATATGCTGTCTAGGTTCGTTATAGCTCCTCTTCCAAGGAGCAAGCATCTTTTAATTTTGTGGCTGAAGTCAAAGTCTGCAGTGATTTGGAGCCCCAGAAAATAAAATCTGTCACTGTTTCTACTTTTTCCCCTTCTATTTGCCATGAAGTGATAGGAATGGATGCCATGATCTTAGTTGTTTGAATGTTGAGTTTTAAGCCAGCTTTTTCACTCTCCTCTTTCACCCTCAGCAAGTGGCTCTTCAGTTCCTCTTTACTTTCGGTCATTAGAGTGGTATCATCTGCCTATCTGAGGCTGTTGATATTTCTCTTGGCAATCTTAATTTCAGCTTGTGATTCATCCAGCCCATCATTTTGCATGATGTACTCTACATAGAAGTTAAATAAGCAGGGTGACAATATACAGCCTTGTCATACACCTTCCTCAATTTTGAAGCAGTCTGTTTTTCCATGTCTGGTTCTAAAGGTTGTTTGTTGACCCACATACAAGTTTCTCAGGATACAGGTGACAGAGTCAATTCCTAGGCAGGTTGATAAAAAATCCGGAGTCTCGGAGGAGGAGATAGGGGCCTGGAATTCTCAAGGAGGAGGAAAGGACAAAAGCCTTTTTCCCCTCTACATTCCTTAGTCTTAGTCACATAATTTTTTTTTTTCTTTAAGCCTGGAACTGATGATTACACAACAAACAACTCAGTCCAAACTCTGTACCAAGGATTATATTACAACAATGTATCTTGTTTGAGGACAGCTTCTCCTTCTTGAAAACCTTCTGACCAATCCTTTTATCTTAGAATGTATATTATGGGAGTGGGTCCCCGTAAGATCTTTATACTGTTAGTTCTAATTCTGTCATCTTTAAATGTAAATTATGGGAGTGGGTCTAGTAAGATCTTTACAACCTTGAGACATTCTTTTGATTTATTATAATAACCACTTAAAAAAGTATACAACTCCATTGCTTAGACTAGCGAGGGAGCACTCTCCGTTCCCCTTCTCATGTCTGTGTCAGAAGCTTTCTCTATTCCTTTACACACTTTAATAAAATTCTGCTACACAAAAGCTCTCGAGTGATCAAGCCTGGTCCCTGGTCCTGAAGCTAAAACTTTTTCGGAGATCAGGAATCCGGCACCATTCACTGTACGCTATGACAGGTAAGGGGGTTTAATATTTCCATCTCTTTAAGAACTTTTCACAGTTGGTTGTGATCCACCCAGTCAAAGGCTTTAGCGCAGTCAATAAAGCAGAAGTAGATTTTTGGGGGGAATCCCTTGCTTTTTCTTTCATCCAGTGGATGTTGGCAGTTTGATCTCTGCTTCCTCTGCCTTTTCTGAACCCAGCTTGTACATCTGGAAGCTCTTGATTCATACTTTGAAGACTAGCTTGAAGGATTTTGAGCATGGCTTTGCTAACGTGTGAAATGAGTGTAGTTGTATGGTAGTGTGAATATTATCTGGTATTGCCATTCTTTGGGATTGGAGTGAAAACTGATGTTTTCCAGTCCTGTAACCACTGCTGTATTTCCCAAATTTGCTGACATCTTGAGTGGGAGGTTAGCAAAGAAAATAGTTTTGTAGGATTCAACTTTAACTTTTCCTAGGTCAGTGAGGATATTCTAGTTCATACCTAAAAATCACTTCTTAATTAAAGTGACTCATGCTGCCAACATGAGCTTTTTTGAAAGACCATTACAATGAAAGAACAGCTAAAATAAAATCTGTCTTCTAGACTATGACCTAGAACTGTAGTCAAGGGTGGACTTGGAGGATGGGAGCACTTGCGTCTGGAAGCTTCTCTAGACATGTGCACATGATAGAAACTGCCAGCATCCCCTTCATCCACTACGCAAACAGGGAACACCCCTGGAGGGCACTGGGGCCCACCCTGTAGCAGGCTCTTTGCATAGCTTCGCAATGCTCACAGCTTCAAGTGCGTCAAGTTAACTGGCCCTGAGCTGGAACGCTGTGTGTGTCTGCGTAGAAGAGCATGTGACTGGGCACCCTGGGACTTTAGAAAGGGAATGAGACGTGTCCCTCTTGTAAACCAGCTGCGACGGTGGACAGGGTGCTCAGTCCCCCTGGAACCAGCTGTGGACAGGCTGGATGGTGGCCAGTGTGGTCTTTACTGCTCAAAGCCACTCTCTTTCCCTGAGGCTCAGGCTGCAAGTGCCAACTACTCAGGCCCTAGACCCAGGGAGGTCCCCAGGTCCCTGACATAGTTTCAGGAGGCGTGGGAAGTATTTCAGAAGGAGCTTGGTGGCACTTGCAGTCGGAGCTAAGATTTTTAGGTCAAGGCAAGACCTGGTGCCCTGGGTCCATTTCTCTGCCCATTTTCCTGAGTCCATCTGGAATGTGAGTGCTGTGCAGGTCTGAACCCCCAGCCCTCTGCCCCAGAGCAGCTCCCCGAGGCTCTGAGGCTAAGAATCACCTACTTCACTGACCCTTGTGGCTGGCCCCATGCCTCGGACACCCCAGAGTTCTGTGAACATAGCTCAGCCTTGTGTGTGAGACTGCCTCCTCCTGGTGTAGCTTCTCCACATACCCCCGGCTTTGTGGTCCCAGGACAGTGGCCAGGTTTGTTTCCACTGTCACATCAAGATCCTTCCAGCTCTGAAGGATGCTCTGTCCTGACCACATTTGCAAATCAAGAAGGAAAGGGTTGGTCTGAGGATCCTGCAAGATTTTACTAATACAACTCCTAGTGTGAGCTAGGCACAAGGCTACAAATATATATCTATATTATATTATTTAATCCTCAAAACATCACAAAAAAGGTAGGTACCATTGCATGCTTTAATGTATAAGAAAACTAAGGTTTAAAATTCTTTAAAAATTATGCCTAAGATACACAGCTAATGCACTTCAGATCCAGCATTACAGACTGAGGTTATTTTAAAGTCCACATACACATGATGATAGAGACCACTATCTCAAACCAGTTGGGCAAGCAGATTGGGAAAAATGTGTATATATAAAGATATAGGTATATATCTATATCTATGATATAGCTGGATCAAGATCCTATTTATTCCTTGTGAAGGAAAGATGGAGTTCTATTAAAGAAAATTATTTTTACCTTCAGAATATCTCCTTCAAACAGCTGAAAGCTTCGTGCTCTGAGATGGATCCCCTTGCCAGCTTCCGTTTCAATTTTATAGATACATTCATGGTTATTATCATAGTTTGACGGGAAATTTGGAGACAGTAACGTTCCTTCATTTCCTTTGACACTCGCTCCACATTCAGCTAAAATGAACAGGACATTAAAAAAAAGAAAGAAGATTCAAAAGTGGAATTACTGATTTTAATAAATAAAAACTTTAAAATCATGGCAGCCCTCTTCTCTCTCAATGTATGTCTACTGTTAACACATTGCTTTTATAGACTAATGACTTCTTTTCACTGTTTTACCAACTGGTCAGTAAAGATACCCCCATTCATCCCCTTTTCAAGATTTTCTTGTTTCTTTTAGTAGACTGCCTCTTCCTCCTATCCTGCAAAGAGTTCTAAGGTGAAACAGATAAGCCTGAGCACTCTGACTGACCCCTGGGTGGTCGCCTCTCTGAGCCCCAGCTCTGCCTCGTGAAGCGCCCCTGCCGACCCCAATGTGCTGATTCCACAGCAATGTCCACGCAATTCCCCCTGCCGGCATTCCGTGGCCTCAGCCTGGATGCACTTAAAGGGGATTTTCACCATGGACCAGACCACCGAGTCCCCCACTGCTGTGTCACAGTCCTGAGCCTGTCTGACTGCCTTGGGACAGAAGTCCCTTTGATGGCGGAAAATACATTCTTTTCCCCTTTTCCTGATGAAAGGAGAGGGAAGTTCACCTCCAGACCCAAATTTGCATAAAGAACTTAAATTAGAGTAAACATGAAAACAAATATAGCCCTCAACTTTCTGCCAACTCAGAGAAAGTCACCTAGACTCTCAGCACCCGTTTCCTCACCAGTGAAAGTGAATGTGTTAGGCTAACCTCTAAAACTCTAAGTGTCTAAAACAACCATAACAAGATAAAATTGCCCTGAGTGCCCATGTGTGTGTTTGCGTGTGTGTGTGTGTGTGTGTGTGTGTGTAAGCTTGTGTGACAAGAACGCTCCATGTGACTCTACATGAACTAACTTATCAGCCACACTATGTGATAAGCACAGTGATTTTTAAAATTCCAACAAAACAAGCCTGAGTGTGAAGAGTAATGATCAAATTGGAAACTGAAAAATAAGTAAAATGCCTGCACGTAATGGGGGTGAGAGGGGGCAGGGTTCAGTTTAAGGGGGGCCTCCTGAGGGTCACACAGCCTTGGCAATGTCCCAGGCATGCCTGTCTTCATAATCATAAATCTCTGACTGCCCAGTCTCTCTCTGACAATAACTGAAGTCCTCCTCTGTACAGGAGTGGGGCTTCCCTGGCCGGCTGATGGAAGGAAAAAGCTGGAGATTCAGTGTCAGCTCCAGATGATTTGTGCCGTTGAATCTCAGGATGTCCCCACATATGACGGTCAGGAAGAGAATCAGGGCGAAAACACAGGAGAACTTGGTTCCCCTGCCCTTACCTTTCCCTCCAAAAGGACATAAAGGGGGGTTTTATGGGAAATGGGGGAGAAAACGTTAAGAAAGAAGCACAAGTGGCTTTATGGGCCTCATGGGCATGACTGAAGCAGGGGAACATTTGGGAGAACTTAGATCTGGCTGCAAACACAGACTGGGCTGGATGGAAGGGGGTATCTGGGGGTCATGGAACCAGGATCCCTGGAAAGCTTGGAGCACAGAGTTGACCTGATAGATGGCTATTTGGAAAAGAAGACACACACTAAAAGAAAACAGTGAATCCAAAGATTCTAAAGGAAAGAGTCACAGTGTGAAAATGGACGTGTAAACAAATTCTAGAATTCCCAGTCTAGAGGAACACACTGGAAGATCAAATAAGTACTTATGATGCTGGAAAAGACTGAAGGCAGGAGGGGAAGGGTAAGACAAAGGATGATGTGGTTGGATGGCATCACTGACTCAATGGATGTGAGTCTGAGCAAGCTCTGGCATATAGTGAAGGACAGGGAAGCCTGGTATGCTGCAGTCCATAGGAGTTGCAAAGAGTTGGACATGACTCAGCGACTGAACAACAAAAGGGTAGATAAAAAGTATAAGACTTTGCCTGTCTGGGTACAGCAATCTATTCTTCTTTTGGTCTATTTGTCACTTGAACTGAAGGCATTTTTATAAGTATTATATCATTAAACAAAGAAAACAATTCCATGAAGTCAGTATCAATGATAAGTTCATTTTACAGATGAGGAAGCTGAGGCAGGTTAATTAACCTGCTCAAGATCACATGGGGCAGGGTGGGCTGTTGACAGAGCTGGGATTTGAACCCCAGGTGGTCTAGTAACAACCACACTATGTTGTCAAAGTACAGTATTTATTATTAATTATGCTTACAGATGTTAAGAAACCCACGAGAAACACATGTGAATATATGACTCAAAAAATGTAGGAACATGAGGCTGTCATGATTGAGCATCTTAACACTCCACAAAATATCCTGCCATGGAACAGGAACGTCTGCACCAGGATCTTGTTTGTGAGGCAGGCTAATGACTTAAGTTTATTTCCAATTGAATGTCCTAGTGCACAAAGACAGATGCAACATGATTTTCAAATGAAAGAACTGGAATGTGGAAAGAAGACTGAGTAAGTGCTCCAAAGCCCAACTGTCCCATAGGAGATAATTCAGTGAAATATGACAAACAGTTTAAAAAAGCAGGTGCTCAGAAACTTAAAGAATGCAAGTCATCAGAATTTCAGAAATTCTTTGAACTTGATTTCAGACATCCATTGCAAATCTCCATTCCTGGAGCAATTAAATGTGTCAATTTTAAGTTCTTTCCATAATCCATTTAAAATGACTTTAAGATGAAAGAATATAATTTCCCGTAAAATGAATCATTGGCTTTTTTTTTTAATAAAGAACCTCTTGAAACTGTAACTAAAATTGAATTGTCATTTAGAGTTCTGTAATGGAACTAAACTTATAAAAGTAACTGGAAAAAATAGAAAGGTGTCAATTGATTTTTCAGTTAATTCTTCTGTACAAAAGCATTTACCTATGCAGGCTGTCTGAGCAGTTCTGGGTGATGTAACAGAAGAGATGAGAGGCTTAAAGGACAACATTAATCAGTATTTCTCACAGCTTTGGAAGCTGGAAGTCCACACCCAGAGCACTAACCATATTGTCTGTAAGTATTAATATTCAATATTAACAGATACTTTCTCAGGGATATTAATTTACTATTTGATAGTAACACAATAGGTAAAAATATATGCTGAAATGGCAACTCACTCCAGGATCCCTGCCTGGAGAATCCCATGGAAAGAGGAGCCTGGCAGGCTCCACCAGGTCTCAAAGAGTCAGGTATGATTGAATGACTGAGCATGCACGCAATCTGCCTACTTACACTGATCTGGATTCAGATTCTGTTGCTGAAGACTTGCTCCCCTAAACACTACTGAAGCCCACAGTGCCTCCTAATCTCACAGTGACACTTCTTCACATAGGGGATGCAGGTCAGGGCAGTTCTCAGTCTAGTGTCCACTCAAAGTTCTGTTTACAACCAGGCGTTTATTAGGGAAAGGTGAAGCAGCGTACTCATAACTCACTTGGCCCTCCTCCAGGCTGTGATCTTCAGAATGGATCTGCAACTCTGGTCTAGGGATAAGCTATTCTTATTTCTATGATTTTGAAGGAAGAAAGATAGACACAGAGTGCCAACGAATCAAACTGTGAGATCAAGATAGGCACCTCTGAAAGAAATCATGACTGCTTGACAAACATTTACTGAGTAAGGCCCAGAGCTGAATCTTGGCTAAGGCAGCCCCCACTGTAAAGAAAAGGTCAGCCTAGCGGGGGAGACAGAGATAAGAAGACAGGTTTACTGGCTCAGATAGTGATCCCGGAGGGTCCCTCTCCAGCCAGGGAGTAAGCAGGGTGGAGAGAGCCGCATGGAGGGGGTTCAAAATGAGGAGGGGCAGTCTATAAAAGGGGGTGCACACTGTGAGTAAGGAGCGGTGAAGAGAGAGGCCTGCAGGTAAGAGAACCAGGCAAGTCTGCTTCTTGCGCAGTGTGTACGGGACACACACTTGTGTGCCCAAGCTCAAGTACACGAGTGAGCTGGGTGGGAAGTCCCAGGGTCTGCCAGTGAATAACAATGACCCTTCCACAGGCTGCCTCAAGTTCTGTGAAGCGACAGATGAGGGAGACTCTGAATTCAGACAGATCACTCCGGGGCTGCGGCCCCCTGGGCAGCAGTCCTGGAGGCAGGGGCGTCGTCAGGATGTGAAGGTGAAGCTTCTCTAGGCCAGGCAGAGAGGAGCCCTGGGGGAAGCAGACTCTTCAGAACTACCACTATTAGGATGTGGAGAATGAGGGGACGGGAGGGAGGAGAACTCCCAGGTGCCACGTGGGTTACCTGCTAGGTTTTAGTGCCCTCGGAAATATGGTTAGTCAGATTGAGTCTGTTCTTTGCAGCCAAAGATGGAGAAGTTCTATACAGTCAGCAAAACCAAGACCTGGAACTGACTGTGGCTCAGATCATGAACTCCTTATTGCTTAAAATTCAGGCTTAAATTGAAGAAAGTAGGGAAAACATAGTCCATTCAGGTATGACCTAAAAACAATTCCTTATGATTATACAGTGGAGGTGACAAATAGATTCAAGGGATTAGATATGGTGGACAGAAGTGCCTGAAGAACTATGGAAGGACATCTATAACATTATACAGGAGGCAGTGAGCAAAACCATCCCAAAGTAAAAGAAATGTAAGAAGGCAAAATGGTTGTCCGAGGAGACCTTACAAATAGCTGAGAAAAGAGAAGAAGCAAAAGTCAAAAGAGAAAGAGAAAGATATGCTCAACTGAATGCAGAATTTCAGAGAATAGCAAGGAGATAAAGGTAAGACTTTTTAAATGAAAAACACAAAGAAGTAGAGGAAAACAACAGAATGGGAAAGACTAGACATCTGTGCAAGAAAACTGTAGATATCAAGGTAACATTTCATGTGAAGAAGGGCACAGTGCAGGACAGAAATGGTATGGACCTAATAGAAGCAGAAGATACTAAGAAGAGGTGGCAATGAACATAGAACTCTACAAAAAAGGTCTCAATGACCTGGATAACCAAGATGGTGTGGTCACTCACCTAAAATCAGACGTTCTGGAATGTGAAGACAATGGAGACTTAGTATGCATTACTACAAACAAAGTTAGTGGAGGTGATGGAATTCCAGCTGAGTTATTTCACGTCCTGAAAGATGATGCTGTTAAAGTGCTGCACTCAGTATATGAGCAAATTTGAAAAACTTAGCAGTGGCCGTGGACTGGAAAACATCAGTTTTCACTCCAATCCCAAAGAAAGGCAGTGCCAGATAATGTTCAAACCGCTATACAATTGCACTCATTTTATATGCTAGCAAGGTAATGTTCAAAATCCTTTAAGATAGGCTTTAGCAGTACATGACCTTAGAACTTCCAGATGTACAAACTGGGTTTAGAAAAGGCAGACAAACGAGAGATCAAATTGCCAACATTTGCTGGATCATAGAGAAAGCAAGGGGATTTAAAAAAATAATCTGCTTCGTTGACTATGCTAAAGCCTTTGTGTGGATCACAACAAACTATGGAAAATTCATAAAGAGATGGGAATACCAGACCACCTTACTTGTCTCCTGAGAAACCTGTATGTAGGCAGGATAAGAAGCAATAGTTAGAACCAAAGATGGAACAACAGACTGGTTCAACATTGGTAAAGGAGTACAACAAGGCTGTGTATCGTCACCCTGCTTACTTAACTTATATGCAGAGCATATCAAGTGAAATGCTGGGCTAGATGAAGCACAAGCTGGAATCAAGATAGCCAGGAAAAATATCAACAACCTCATATATGCAGATAATACCACTCTAAAGGCAAAATGTGAAGTGGAACTAAAAAGTCTCTTGATGAAGGTGAAAGAGGAGAGTGAAAAAGCTGGCTTAAAACTCAACATTCAAAAAACTAAGATCATGGCATCTGGTCCCATCACTTCATGGCAAATAGATGGGGAAAAGGTAGAAATAGTGACAGACTTTATTTTCTTGGGCTACAATATCACTGTAAATAATAACCGAAGTCATGAAATTAAAAGATGCTTACTTCTTGGAAGAAAAGTTGTGCCAAAACTAGACAGCATATTAAAAACCAGAGACATCACTTTGCTGACAGAAGTTTGCATAGTCCAAGCTATGGTTTTTCCAGTAATCATGTATGGCTGTGAGAGCTGGACCATAAAAAAGGGTAAGTGACAAAGAACAGATGCTTTCAAATTGTGGTGCTGGAGAAGACTCTTGAAGAGTCCCTTTGGACAGCAAGATCAGACCTGTCAATCTTAAAGGAAATCAATCCTGAAGATTCATTGGAAGGACTGATGTTGAAGCTGAAACTCCAATACTTTGACCACCTGATGCGAAGAACTGACTCATTAGAGAAGACCCTGATGCTGGAAAAGATTGGGGGCAGGAGAAGGGGACGAGAGAGGAGGAGATGTTTGGATGGCATCACTAACTCAATGGGCGTGAGTTTAAGTAAACTCTGGGAGTTGGTGGTGGACAGAGAGGTCTGGCGTGCTATAGTCCATGGGGTCGCAAAGAGTTGGATACAACTGAGTGACTGAACTGAACTGAACTGATGCTGAAGCTAAAGCTCCAAAACTTTGTTGACCTGATGCAAAGAGCCGGATCATTGGAAAAGACCCTGATGCTGGGAAAGATTGAGAGCAGGAGAAGAAGAGGGTGACAGAGGATGAGATGGTTGGGTGGCATCATTGACTCAATGAATGAGATTTTGAGCAAACTCCAGGAGATAGTGAAGGACAGGGAAGCCTGGCAAGCTGTAGTGTTTAATTCAGTCACAAGAGTTGTACATGACTTATCGACTGAACAATAACATGGTTATTCAAAGGTCTCTTGTGGCCAGATGGGCTGGAAGGAAATATGGGGAGCAGCTGGTAAAGCACAAGAGGAAAAATATAGAACAGCCTTACCCCAAGCCACTGAGCTGTCTCAGTGCTGAGGTGAAAGGCCTAGGGTTGGAATCTTGCTGACTGTGCTGGTGGGCAAAGGTCTTAGGTTCTTAGTGTTCCCATCTGTAGAATGGATTTGACACATGCAAAAAGTTCAGAGCCATGCTGGTCTAGAAATATTAACTATTATTTCAACCCCGGTTGCTCCTCATTTTACATTTAAGGCAACAATGCAAAAACCCAGATAACAAGAATGGATCTAGATAAAATAGAATAAATGCAAATAGAATATTATAACTGATAGACAATGTTACATATGGGGAATAAATCTTCAACTTCATTGGGTTGGGAGTTTTTTCTCCAGATTTTAACTATCTTGTTCAGTAATTTCTAATTTGGGGTAAATGGATTCTAGGCAACTCTGGGAACATCTAGGATCATCTATAAAATTATTTTCTTAGAAAGTATTCATTTTTTCTTTAGGCCATGTTCAAAATTGGCATCCAATTCTCAAATAAAATCCATAACTTAAAAAAAAGTGAGAACTACTGTTTTAGGAGAAAGCCAGATCATAGAAAGGTCAGATATGCACCCTGGCAGGAAGCAGAGATGATACACTTCATGTTCATTTGTCTATATTAAAGTCCTTACTATCCTACTGTCTATGCCACATTGAAACACAAAAAGACAGTATTGACTTTTGAATCACATAATATTTCTAAATAATTAAAGAGATTCTGTGCTTTGGGAAAAATATGGTCTACTAAGTTAACAATTCAGCATTTTTATTATGAAATTTCAGTTTCATAGCTTGCCCACCAGGCTCTAGTGTATCAGCTGGTAAGAGGTGCGTGGAGGGTACCAGGGGCTGCTGAAGAACTCAGAAGGCTCACAGTTAAGGGGTCCGAGGGTCCTCACTAGGCAGATGCCATAATGCTGTGACCTGAGCCATGCTTGGCAGCTCTAAAGGACAGCTGCAAGCTCTCTCATGCTGAGCAGCACTGCAGAGGGCAGGCACCAGACACGGCCCCGGAGCTAATGGCTAGACTGGCCAGACCTTCAGCCAAGCTTCCGCGTTTAAACTCTGAGCCACCAGATCGAGTCTCTGCTGAACTCCTCACAGCGGCACAGGCTCAGGCTGGCAACAAACACACCCCACGGAATGGGCATCCTGATTCCACAGTCTCAGCACAAAGCCTCGTTCCAAATACCTAAATAAAGGTTCATACAGCTCTACAGAATGACCGCTTGAATTCCTCGAGAACACAGGGAGAAAGCTAATCCAGCATTACAACTGCTAGCACGCCCACTTTGCAGGAGTATGCACAATCTTCCAGTAAGAGTGTAAAGAAACAAGACAAACAGATCACCAGCCCAGGCTGGATGCATGAGACAAGTGCTCGGGCCTGGTGCACTGGGAAGACCCAGAGGGATCGGGTGGAGAGGGAGGTGGGAGGGGGAATCGGGATGGGGAATACATGTAAATCCATGGCTAATTCATGTCAATGTATGACAAAAACCACTACAATATTGTAAAGTAATTAGCCTCCAACTAATGAAAATAAATGAAAAAAAAAAAAAAGAAACAAGAAAACCAGTACTTTAAATTGTCACCAGGAGAGGCTCACTGCTTTTAACCAACAGAATTGTCAAAGGTTGTGGTAATACAGCCTGGCTTCTAGCTTTTGCTCTTTCTTTTGTCCCAGGTACACAGTATATATGTTTATATATATATATATTCTTCCTCCTTACTACACTTGACACAGGACTTAGCTTCCCCCCCATTCAGTCATGAGGTTTTAGAGCTGGAAGGGGCTGGCTTTATCAATGAGGCAACCACAGCCCAGAGGCGTTCCTGCCCCCCTGCCCTGGGAAGTGGAGTGGCCTCTGTCCAGCCCAGCGGGTGGCGCTCACCCCTCCCTGGCCCGGGGGCCCTGCGCGCTGACTGCACCACGCCCTGCCCCCTGGATGAATGAAATGAAAGCGTGTGACCACCTACCCACACACCTTGGCAGAGGTGCGCTCCACACACGACGGCCCCCACCCAGGCACGTGAGCTGGGTAGCACCTTCTAAGCGGTAACCCGGGAAGCAGGAGAAGGTTAGTGCATCCCCGACTCCGAAGTGAAAGCCAATTCTTCTGCTGAAGGCAGGGACGCCAGGGTCATCGCACGGCTCGAGATCGTACTCTGAGACAGGAAGGGACAGAGCACATGTGGGAATCTGTGTAAACACTCAAACATCACTTAGCAAGAATCAAAAGCTGCTAGTATTTTTTAAAAAGTAAACCACTAGACATATATTGTTTTCCCCAGTCTCTGCTGTGACTGTCACATGGATTGCTGTTCTTTGTACTATGGGTTTTCACATGACAAATGGAATAACTTATAGTATTTAAAAATGTAGATGTAGGGACATCCCTGGTGGTCCAGTAGCTGAGATACTGTGCTCCCAAAGCAGGGTGCCCAGGCTCAATCCCTGGTCAGGAAATTAGATCTCACATGCTGCAACTAAGAGTTTGCATGCTGCAACTAAGACCCAGTGCAGGCAAATAAGTAAATATTTAAAAAAAAATAGATGTATAACATTATAATAACCTGATCCATTTAGAACTGTCACTTTAACAGTATGGACTTATCTAGTGACACATCTAATTGTGGAAGTCAGTTACTGTCCTCTTCTTAAAGGTGATTTGGATAAACAAGACCCAGTGGAGCAGAAACTAAGAGCAACATCACAGGGTTTTGCTGGTGGAAAATTTATCATAACCAATTCCAACCCTAAAATACACCTCAGTATGGAAGAGCAAAACTGTAACCTGCCTATGTTTAAATTTTAAGCCATGTTTTATTGAAATGCAATAGAAAATGTTCTGGAAACTGCTGGAAATTTCTGCAAACTACTCAGGAAGAAGGTGCTAATTTAGTAATCAAGAAAAAAAAAGATTAATGTCTGGTGTTTTGCTGCATTTGAGGATTAAATGTACAAAATAACAGTGCTAATAACACTTTATATTTGTCTCATTCTATGGTGTTGATTCTTTCAAGCCTCAATTATAACAGTACAGTTGCATCTGCAGTGTCATTGGTCTCAAGATCCATCCTTCAGGCCATTTTTCTCCTTCTTGTCTTTTTCTTCAGTGTCTAATGCCCAGTGCTTAGTCAGATAGGATCAAATGGTGACCACCATCAGGGATTTGAATGACAGAAAGAGTTTCAAAGAAGTTAATGTGACAGTTAAAGAATGAGCATTATCACAATGAAGGGGAGACAAAAGACAGGTTTTCCTAAGGTGGTGGGGAAAGTGTGCTGGTTCTTCTGAAAACAAATTGCCTCCCCTTCCTGATTTCCAGCTCTCTTAACTGTGGATTCTGTATTCTCAATAAACATAATAAATTCAACTATCATTCCCCCAGTATTTCTCAATTTTCATCCATGTTTTCTACTCCCATCACGCACAAGCTTTACCACTGGTGTCCTTACCTCATAAGAAGAAATCTCTTTCCCCATTTTCCCTTGTCTCACCCAACTTACTGGCCAACATGTGAGTGCCATGCTGGCCACAGTGTCTTTGTCCTGTTTTTCATTTAGGTACAAACTCTGTTCTGGATCTCTAACATATTCAAATTACTCTGGTCACTCCGGAAATAAGATCATTAATTTGACTTATTTTTAATATGACCCAGCAAGGGGAAAAGTAATATCATTTAATTCAACCCAATAAATACTTATTTGTCATACCAAAACATAATGGTAGACTTCCTAGGAAGAAGAACAGATAGTACTGGACCTGTGGAGGGGGGAATTTGCCTGGTGAGGGATGAAGAAAGGCTTTGAATGAAGAGGAAACCATATCTGTAAAGGCACTGAGCTGCCCATATTCTCATCTTTGGAAGAGAATGACCAGGAAATTATGTGAACTCACAGAAAGTTGGCATTCAGAAGGCAGAATCATAGACCTGGTGAAGGGATGTCAGAATAGTAAGTGGACACAGAGAACAGTCAGAAATGGACGTTCAAAGTAGAGCAGATGGATCCGGGAAGGTAGACAGCCTGACCTAAACATTCTGGACTACTGAGCTCTTCTCTCCCAATATCCCATCATTATCTGCAGGGACAGATAATGTGTGACACAGTATAGACAAACTGCATGTGTGATACAGTATAGACAAACATGACTTCTTGTCTGAGTTCTTCTCTCCCAATATCCCTTCATATCTGCAGGGACTGGGAGACAAAATTGTCAAATGATCCTTTAATGTCTGTGCTTGCATGTGCACTCAGATGTGTTCTGCTCTTTGTAACCCCATGGACAGTAGCCCACCAGGCTCTCCTGTCCATGGGACTCTTCAAGCAAGAATGCTGGAGTGGGAAGACATTCCCTTCTCCAGGGGATCTTTACAACTCAGGTATCAAACTCAGGTCTCTTGTGTCTCCTGCATTAGCAGACAGATTCTTTACCCACTGAGCCTTCTAAGAAAGCACTTCAATAAACTTTCTAAAAGAGACAGAAACAAACCAGACTAACAAGGAATAAGAAATCCAGATATAAGAGCATACTGATTTGGAACAAATATTTGAAAAATCCTCAGATGAGCAAATGTTTCATTTGCACAATAAAGTTGTTACTTCTTTGGGCAGAAAAAATAAATTCCATTGTGCTAGTGTCACTGGCAATCATTCACAGCCTGGTTTCAGTGTATTTTGTTCTTAGCCTGACTGTCTGAGTGCGCATGTGTGATAGAGTACAGACAAACATGACTCCTTGTGTAAGTCTTATAGACTGCGTTCTATGGGTGGTGTGCAAATGAATTGTTACACATGCTCAAAAAGTGTTGCCACTTTGGTCTTAAAATTTGAAAATACTTTAAAACTGCCCCAAAGAGCTACAAAGACACAGGAAAGTGTGTGTTGTTCTTGTTCCCTTGCTTTGTTGCTGAGGGAGTTTATGGAAGGAGACAGCCAACTTCACACCTGCCCTCTGACTCCTGGAGTCAAAAGCCCCCTTGTAGCTACGTCACTTGTGGCTGTGTGTGGGGAGTGATGGAATTAAGAAAGAGATGGTGCAAAATGGATAGAGGTTGCACAGACTCCTGAGAAACATTTACAGCACAGATCCACAGACTGGCACCACTACCAATTTCTGTCTTTGGAGTATTCTGCTTAAATTCATTTTGGATCATGATGAAAGGAGGAAGGGAGTGGAGTGATAGTCTCACAGCGATTCTAATTGAGATCCACCCTGGGAGAACACACAGAGAGATAGATTTAGGTATTAGCGTTAGGAAGATTTAAGTCTTTGATATAGAAAGTGGCCAATTCCATGATTACCATTGATTGCAGCAAATTTCGAAGATACCAAGTAGTCTGAGCCTGTCTGGAAAGCTCCATTAATGCAGTGAAATAACAGGAAAAAGCAACAAAGTCAGATTAAGATAAATGGCAACTGGTCATAATTACAGGGAATAGAAAATGATTCAGAGCATCTTAAAATCCCTAAGAAGTCTTTTTAAAAAACAAAACAAAACAATATTTCAATTTGAAAATCATACTTCAATAAAGCTAAAAAAGCTTTTATATATTTCATTTTATATATTTTAATGATCATGTGATATTTAGTAAGTGTTTATTGACAACTTAACTAATTCCTACTATGTGTAAGATATTGGACTGGAATTGTCTTGATGTGAAAGAGGAACAGGAAATACTTCTACAAAGAGTTTTAGCCTCAGAAAAGGAGATAACAAATATTTAGATATTTTAGCAAAGAATCTGATGAGTGGCATCAAAAATTATTAGGGAATTAACTGGAACAATAAAAATAGAAGAAACTATTTGTAATTATAAGACTCAGAGACCACCTTATGAAAACTACTTTAGCTCTGGGCAGTGAAACATGATGTGGGAAACCACTTTCTTTGCCAAAGTATTAGATACACAAATGGAAATTAATATAATTGTTTACACCAGTCAGTCATCTCAGAGAAGTGATTGCTTCTGTCATCTGGGGTGTGTCTGAGACCTGGCAGGACATCTGACCCCAATGCTTGTGGAACACTGTTTAAGTGATTAAAATTATCCCCCACACGTTGGACCCGTTAACTGTCTGTACTGGTTTTTCTCACCTATAAAAATATATTAATACCATTCTTAGTAATTTAACACATACAGACAATGGCTGAAACTACATAAACCTCTCACAAGTATTATCTATATTTTATAATAAAGGTGAAAATGTTTCCTAATTTTGGAGTATGGTTTTGTTGCTTTAATGATGGCATTAAGGTCAATAAGAAGTTTATCCTCGATTGCACATGGTCACATTTTTTTCATCCTAAAGGTGGCTCTCATCACAAGTACTGAGTCTCCTGGAAGGTAGGACCCAAAACAAGACCACAGTGAATTCTGAGCACATTCCCCAGTAAGGACAGCGTCCTCAGAGGTTTTGATAGCACTGATGACAAGAGACTGAGAAGGCAGTGATATTAGCAAATTTGAGGGGATGAGAATTTACAATTGACCGTGTGGCAAACAATGTCTTGGGGCTGCCAGGCAGCTGCCCCTGGGTCTCACCTCCTCCTGTACACCACCTAGACCTTCCCACTGGTCAGCCATTTACCTGTAAACACAGACACAGAGAGACAGACAGACACACACACACACACACACGTGTGCACTTCTTCAGACAATGGTACGATTACTGCCAGAGAAGATAAGACCGCAAAGTACCTGAAAATGTGATGTTGAAGCCCTCGTAGGAAATGGAAAAGTCTGATATAAACCGAAGTTGGGCTGTGAAGTTTCCAAACAAACCCGCCTTGATGGTGTGAGGCAGCACCGAGCCCGTGAGCCTGGCCACTGGCTCCGAGAAGCTCCCGTCCTCGGTGATCAGCAGGTAGTCGTGGGAACTCTCCAAGTGAAAGGTGTGGAAGATCATCTGGACTCCTGAGAGACAGAGACGGAGTCAGTGAGGGGGAGACACAGAGAGCGAGATGGAGCCAGTGAGGGGGAAACAGAGAGAGAGAGAGATGGAGTCAGTGTGAGAGAGACAGACAGAGATGGAGTCAGTGAGAGGGAGACAGAGAGAGAGATGGAGTCAGTGAGAGAGAGACAGAGAGAGACAGAGATGGAGTCAGTGAGAGAGAGACAGAGAGATGGAGTCAGTGAGAGGGAGACAGAGAGAGAGAGAGATGAAGTCAGTGAGAGGGAGACAGAGAGAGACAGAGATGGAGTCAGTGAGAGGGAGACAGAGAGAGAGAGAGATGAAGTCAGTGAGAGGGAGACAGAGAGAGACAGAGATGGAGTCAGTGTGAGGAACACAGAGAGACAGGGAGAGAGAAAGAGACAGAGACAGAGAGACAGAGATGCAGATGGTGAGTGGGAGAGAGAGAGACAGAGAGAGAAAGAGCAGAGAAGGGAGTAAGGGGGTATTGATAGAATCAATAATCAGGGAAAGAATTCCTTCTAGGCATCAAAGTCTTGAATCAAAATCAATCTTAAAATGCAATCTGAATTATGAAGTTTGAAAGAAAAGTACAGAGAATGAATGGGTAATCTGTGTCTGTATCTATACCTATATACGCTGAAACATTTGGTTTTGCTGTTTATTCCTTCTCTCTTTTAGGCATATATAGGTATAGATACAGACACAGTTTAGACACAATGATATACAGAGAGCTACGGATGCAGGTTCCGACATAAATACATAACTAAACTCGGCAGGAGGGTTCAATGGACTGTGCAGAGCCCCTCAGGACAAGCATTTGTGACTGAGGAGACAAGGACCATTCCTTTCCCATTGATAGTAAACATGTCCTTCAGAAACACCAGGCTTGGAGGTTTAATACAGAAACTTACACAACTGAGGGAAGACAGTTGTGAAATCCTAGTTTCATGTGGCTCTTTGGGCACATGATCCCCTAGTAGCTATACCCACAAAGTATTATTTCTGAATTCCTATACATAGTGAATATAATTAACCATGAACAGATCTTTTTAATAAAAATATTTATTTTTATGATTACAAAACCCTGGTCACTCATAACTTGCTTATTCTTTTTTTTCTTTTAAAAGCCAAGTTCTCTGTAACATACAATTACTCATTATGTGTAATAATACTCATCAGAGTTAGAACACATGGCAAGTACAAGAATGGGCTTAGATTTATCATGGAAATGAGAAGTTAGATAATTATTTTTCTCCTTTTATTTAAGTGTTATTCACATTTTGTATAATGCATGCCTCTTTTCTTTAGCATTGCACCAGATTTTCAAGCTTATGTTTACAGGCATAAATTCAAGTTATCTGATCAATAGAGAATAAAATAAGGAATCAACTTATGCTTGAATGTACCAATAATTTAAAGATTATTTTTCTTCTAGAATCTTATTAAAAATCAGTTAGTAATCAAAACATATATGAGTAAATTAGTTATCTTACTTACTCACACATCAATATTTTTTGTTCCCATGTTTGATGTAGTTAATTATTTTATATTTTTGAAATCTGTAATATTCTTACCCTTTCCATGAGACACCTCAATGGTCCACGTACAGTTTAGAGAGTTTGGGTAAAAATCTGGAAACCCAGGAGAAAGAACTGTTCCACTCTTTCCATGGATGTATCCTCCACAGAGGGCTTAAATAATAAAGAGAGATCATTTTAGTATTAAAGTTTCACAATGATTGCTCCAATAAAATATTTTTAAAGTGGCATTTAATTTGCACAAGGACTAAAAGAATATTTAAGGTCACCTCCATGAAAAATAAGACAAAGCAAAAACTTAATTCTGCCCGCAATGTGTCAGTTCATATACAAAGAGCTAAGTAGTACAGAACCTGGAGAGACACCCCAGAGTAGGCTATACCAGTTGAAGCGGAACCCTCCTGTGACGGTGAGGTCTATGCGTCTGTGTGACTGCGTCACAGGATGCACAGACCTGGACCTCACTTCATTCCGAGTGCGGCTGTGAGGATGCTCCTGGCTGAGGTGACACTGGAGCAGGCGGACCAGGAGAGCAGGTGACCCTCCCTGGGGGGGTGGGCCACTTCCAACAGGTCAGAGGCTCGAGGAGCTCAAAAAGGCTGAGCATCTTGTAAGCAAGATGGAACACATCTTGCCCGGTGGCTTTCACACTGGGACATCAGCTTCCTTCCTATCCTCACTCTTGAAAGGAAGCATCAGCTCCTTCTGAGTCTTGAGGCCGCTGGCCTCCAGACTGGAATCCACACCCTTGGGGCCCGAGTCCCCAGATGGCTGACCACAGATCTGATGGCTTCACAGTCTCTGTAATCATGTGAGTCAACTTATAATAAATTTCTCCATCTCTACCGACATCTCTGTGTCTTAATGATTCCAATCCTCTAGAGCTGCCAGCATTCTTGGTAGCACTTCACTGAATTTAAATCCTTTACAACAACATATGCCCTGTTCAATATGTCTCAGTCTCATTTTTGAAAGAAGAAAAAGAAAGTTGTACATGATCACTTGAGGGAGGAAGTCGAGATGTTTAGGAATCAGTGTCCTGTGGAGGTTTCAGTGCTTAGACCTTGATGCCAGAAAGTGATGAGTTCAGAGGCTGACCTGTCTCTGACTCTCTGGTCTTTGGCAAGTAGTTTGTCCTCCTTCCTGCACATCTGTCTTATCTTAAAACTGAACATAGTGATAAAAGCCATCTCTTAGGGTACCTGTTTGTAACAACTGGCTTCGTAGAACACAATTCACAGGGTCCCATATGTATTAAATACCCAAGACATTAGCTGTTGATACTACGAATGGATGTTCATAGCATCACTATGTACAATACACAGATGTCCAACAACAGATGATTGGATAAAGATGCAGGACATATGTACAACTTGGCCATAAAGTCTGAGTCAGCTCTGAGGAGGTGGATGGATCTACAGATGAAGTAAGGCCGAAAGAGAAAAACAAATACAGTATGTTAATGTATATATATATATATATATATATGGAATCCAGAAAAATGGTATTGATGAACCTATTTGCAGGGAAGGAATGGAGATGCAGACGTAGAGAATGGACTTGTGGGCACAGTGGGGAGGGAGAGAGTGGCATAGCTGGATAAAGTAGCGTCAGCATATACACGCCATCAGGCGTAAGATACCCATCTCACACTGGGTGAGAAGCTACTGTGATGCACAAGGAGCCCTGTCTGACACTCTGTGAACACCTGGAGGGATGGGGTGGGGGACCGGAGGCTGGGGAGGAACAGGCTGTATGTATAATTGTGGCCGATTTATGTTGCTGTGTGGCAGGACCCAACACAACATTATAACATTAAAATTTTAAATTTTTTTTTAAATTTTAATTTTTTTAAATTTTATAATTAGTTATAAAAAATTTTTAAAAAACAAGAAAAAGAGCAAGATATCGATAATTTAAAATGTGAATAAACTTTATATAACTTAATTTTGCAAACAATTGAAAAGTGGTTTTTCTTTTCTTTTCTATCTTAAGTCTTATCAATGTTTCCTGAGAATGGAAGAGCTGAACCAGCAAGGAATCAAAGCAGATCAAACTGGCACAGGAGAGCTGGGGGGAAGGGCAAGGGACCTTGCCCTCAGCCCTGAGTCAGTCTCCAGGTCCTCTGGACCCTTGACCCCCGTGCACTGTCACATGAAGATCCTGAATCATGTGTCAGAAAAGCTGTTCCATAAATAGCACTCAGAAAAGAATGAGCTTATTTGTAGAAAAAGTGATATTTCTCATCATGCTCACTCAGCATGTTATTTTAAGAAAACATAATTTCTTTGAATATGCAAACTGAGAGGTAGGTAAAAGCCAGCAAAATAGAAAATTTTGAAAAGAGTTCTAGAATACTTTAAGAGGCTAAAGTTTTCACATCTTAAAGTTACATTGACACATTTTATTATGAAAAAACGTAACATTAACATAGCATTTAACATTAATTTATTCAAAAAATAGTTACCAAGCACCTGCTATTTATGAGCAAAATAGACAAAAATCTCTGCTCTGGCAGAGTGCATGTTGCAGCTGAAGAAGAGAGAATATAATATGAATGACTGATTATATACAATGTTGGAAGATGACACATGCCAGGGAAGAAAATGCAGAAGAAAGAACAGGCATGGGGCAGAATAAATGGGGTCGGGGGTGGGGCAGCCTGACTGAGGAGGTGGCCTGTGAAGAAAGACTTGAGACAGAAGAAGGAAGCACTTGGCAATGTGGGGAAGAACGTGCAGGAAGACAAAATCACCAGGATGAAGGCCAGAGCGAGAGTGGGCTGCTGGTTGCTGTTCAGTCGTTCAGTCGTGCCCGCCTCCTTGTGACCCCACGGACTGCAGCATGCCAGGCTTCCCTGTCCTCCTTCCCTGCCCACCACCTCCTGCAGTTTGCTCAAACTCATGTCCACTGAGTCATTGGTGCCATCCAGCCATCTAATCCTCTGTTGTCCCCTTCTCCTCCTGCCCTCAATCTTTCCCAGCATCAGGGTCTTTTCCAGTGAGTCAGCTCTTCGGATCAGGTGGCCAAAGGATTGGCACTTCAGCTTCAGCATGAGTCCTTCCACTGAATCTTCAGGGTTGATCTCCTTTAGGGTTGACTGGTTTGATCTCCTTGCTGTCCAAAGGGACTCTCAAGAGTCTTCTCTGGCACCCCAGTTTGAAAGCATCAATTCTTTGATGCTCAGCCTTCTTTTGGGTCCAACTCTCACATCCATACACAACCACTGGAAAAACCATAACCTTAACTATACAGACCTTTGCTGGCAAAGTGATGTGTCTGCTTTTTAATGTGCTGTCTAGATTTATCACAGCTTTTCTTCCAAGGAGCAATCATCTTTTAATTTCATGGCCACAGTCACCCTCAACAGTGATTCTGAAGCCCAAGAAAATAAAAGTCTGCTGGAGTGGGGGGCAATCTGGTGGGGAGGGTGGGGAGAAAAGGGAGAGAGTCCTGGGCCCTGGGTCTATGGGGTCAGATCCCACCCAGGCCTTGGCCCATCTCTGGTGTGATGAAGGGCCACCCAAGGGCCCCGCACAGAGGCTGACGCGGGCCCACCTGGCTTTTCATTTGGGTGCTGGGCTGATATGTGAGGAGGGGGTTGGGTGGCAGAAAGCGAAACAGGTAAGACCCTGGACAGAACATCAGCAGAGATGTGGTGAGAAGTGGTCAGAAACCCCATGTTTTGTAGATAGAGCCAATAGGATTTCCTTGTCAATGGGATGTGTGTGCCACAAAGGAAAAGGAAGATTGTGCGATGAGCATAAGGTTCTAAGGTTGAGTGGGAAAAATGGACTGGGGGAGAACCAGGTTTTGAAAGTTAAACCAGTTCAGTTTTGGACACACAAGTGCGGTGCTTATTAGACATCCACGCAGAATGATTGGAGCTGTAATTGGATATGCAAGTCTGGATCCCATGAGAGAGGTTTGACCAAGGGGTAGAAAGATGAGATCGTCAACACTGTGAATGCAGATATAGATAAAAAAACTAAAACCTGGGTTGTTCCTATGAATAAGACAGACAAGTCCCTGGTTTTTCCAGTTTTTCCAGTTTACTTTCAGGTGGGAAAGGCAGATAAATTAATAAAAAGATAGCCAAGCATGATTTATTCTGAGGACAAGAATCCTAACTGGTTCTCAGAGGCAGGTGCGGTGAGAGAGTTCAGCGGGGCAAGTGATGTCCACGCGGCCTCGGCGATGAACGCCAAGTGAGTAAAGAAAGGGTGGAGGCAAGGCCGACAGTCAGTCCACCCAGGGCTAACAGTTGGCTCGGTGACAGGCCAGTAGCTGCCAATTTACCACAAGGCCATTGGGTTCCTGCTGGTCTTTTAAGTAAAACCCTCCCCTTGCAGATTCTGCTGTCATCAGCTTCTGTCATTCCCACATTCTCCCTCGTCTTCTCAGACCATGCACAAAGTCTCCCAGGAAATTCAAGTTTGCAAACAAGTCAGTCGTTGTTTCAAAGAACCAGAAACCTGCCTTCATTAATTTTATTTTAAAGTGTCTACTCTGCCTAGATTGGAGGAAGGCAAGAGTATATCACAGGAGCTAGTCATTTTCCACGTGGGAGGTAACAGCAGAAAAGGGGGAGGAAGAAAAGGTGAGAGATTCTACTTGCTCCCTGAAAGATACCGTTTATTTCCACAGCGCCAACTCTAACTGAAGCTGAAGTTTCAATACTTTGGCCACCTGATACAAAGAGCTGACTCATTTGAAAAGACCCTGATGCTGAGAAAGACTGAAGGCAGGAGGAGAAGGGGACGACAGAGGATGAGATGGTTGGATGGCATCACCAACTCAAAGGACATGGGTTTGGGTGGACTCCGGGAGCTGGTGATGGACAGGGAGGCCTGGCGTGCTGCAGTTCATGGGGTTGCAAAGAGTCAGACATGACTGAGTGACTGAACTGAATCGAGATCTAACTTGTAACCTCACAGCTTTCAGAGTCACAATTTAAATGCTGATATACACTATCGCATGCATGCTCAGTCAAGTGTCTGACTCTTTGGTGACCCCATGGACTGCAGCCCACCAGGCTTCTCTCCATAGGATTTCCCAGGCAGGAATACTGGAATGGGTTGCGATTTCATTCTCCAGGAGAGATTCTCGACCCAGGGATAGAACCCACATTTCCTGCAGGGGCAGGCAGATTC